GCAGCCTATGTGCCCACATAGCTGCAGAGGGACCGTCAAGCAAGGCATGGGGCTGGGGGGCCAGTGGGAGCTAAGTGGTTGGGGACTGGGGATACAGGACTTCCTAGGAGACCGTACAGTCTAGAAAGAATCCATTTCTTAGGAAAAAACCTCACAGTGGGTATTTTAATAATTATATTCTTAAGAGGAAGCACTATTGGTCAGCTCGTAAGCTACTGTAAGCGCCATGTTCCCTAAGTCGGAAAGGCCAACCATTGAGCTCACTCAACCAAGAAGCAGACAACATGGGCTGGCCTGCAGCAACCCCTACAATTACCAGAATAATCTCTTAGAGAAGGGGAAAGTCATTTTGTAGAGGGCCGGCCATCCCTCCTGGAACGGGGAGGCAATGTGGGGAGTTATTCCAGGTAAGACATTAGTAACCACAAAAGTGAAAAATGTAACATTGTACCAAACTATAAAAGACCTCTACGAGATTTAAAAGCCGCTGTAGTTGCTAAAGGGAGGTCAACAATATCTAAAAAGTTACGGTAGTCGGAGAGCATTGCTCTCAGGCCGTAAGCGGCCTGTCCGGCAAGAGGTGGAAGGACCTGAGGGAGTGGCCGTGGGGAGATCGGGGATGTAGGGCTGATGTAGCCCTGTGTCTGCAGCATCTGTCCGTGCTGTGTGACCAGGCTCCAGCTGCATGAATCAAGTGTGTGCAAGGCATGATTGCACATCACGGAGATGCATGTGACCACGAGGACAAAGACACAGGAAGGACCGAGCTGTCTGGGGGAGCTCAAGATGAGCTTCGCAAGAGATGGTACAATTTAAGCTGGGGCTTCAGGTATCAGGCATGCAGCATACGGCAATAGAGAACATGGTGTCTTTGGGCAGTAAGTGGACCAGGATGAGCTCAGTGGCTGGGAGACAGAAGTGGGGCCTTCCACATCAGGACATCCCAGCCTATACAGTATCTTGAGTATCACGCAAGGTACCCAGCTTTGAAGTCAGACACGACGGCTAGGAAGCAGGAAAGCAACGGGCTAGATCTGTGTCTTAGACAAACGGCCCTGCTTGCATTTGTAGAATGTCTGGAGGCTAGAAGGCCTAATGAGGCATGGTGGGATGGGGTCATGTGTTAGACATACCCGGCTGGTGGACTCGACCTCACGACGTCTCCAACCTCATGATCTGAGGCGAAAAGGGGGATGACCATCTTATCTTCTAGGAGCTATTAAGTAAAGTAGAGGAGATGGACAGGGGGCTGGGTCCACTTTGGAGTGGAGCGCATTTAAAATAATTGGGACCTTTCAGCTGGAGGTGCCAGAAATCCCCCGGAAAGCAGGAGCGCATCTCAGAAATCAAAGCACAGTGAGTGATGTGGATTTTAAGTCCACAAACGTTGGAGAACTGATGGTGAGGTCACCGCATGAAAGGTGCCTGGCGGGGTACTTTCCACATGGCAGGAGCTCAGGTATGGTGGCCGGTGTCTCTGTAGTCATTCCTGGGAGCAGCCCCCCCATTCCCCCACTGCTCTGGAGGACAGTGAGGCCACAGAAGCGAATGAAACGGCCAGAGGGAGCCCTCCATCTGAAGAAACTCAGCAGAAACCAACAGTTTAGAGACAAAGCCAAAAAGAGGAATGAAAAGCAAGAATCAAAAACATATGAGGAGAAACAAGAGAGAAACAGACAGCCAGAGGAAGTGAGAATTTCAAAGGAGAGTGAATCAGTGTGAAGATAAGTGAGATAAAGGGTGAAGGGCATGGGCTGGCCTCGCAAGCTGGGAGGCTGCCTATGACCTTGCAAGGGCCTTTGTTGTGACGAAGTGCCAGGAGAAGAGGTTGCTACTGGGGGTGGGAATGCAGAGGGAGGGAGCCCTGGGTGGGGAGCCCCATGACAAGTCCCCCTGGAAAAGCTGAAGCTGATGGTCCTTCGAAGGAAATGTGGGGCTTCTTCCGATGCCTGCAGGGCATCTACTTATGCCATTTTAACTACTTGCTATCTGATATTTGAGACCCACAATATGCTAAGGGAAGCTTTGGTTTCATGTTCTCATCCAGCTGCCTTCTTACTTTCCATTTCGCACACTGTTTCCATACATTCATTCCCATGGGAGGAAACTGGAAGTTGGAAATTTCCAGGAGCATTCAAAGGCTGGGCTCAATGGAGATCATCTCCTGATCGAGTCATGTCCTGACATGTCTTCCCTGGGTCTGGGTCCAGGGCTGAGTTTTTTCAAGACATGAAACTGGAGAGGGGTCTCTGAAACCCTTTAAACTTGCAATATCACCTTATATTTGTGTAGTTGGGTTTTAGTTCCTAATGGATTTTTATAGTCATTGTTTCTTCTCATTCTTACAGTGACCCTAAGGGGGAAGAAAAGCAGATAAGCTTATCCTCAGGTTCTAGACCAAAACAACAGCAAGCAAACCAGCAAAATCCTGGAAGCTCCAATGTATGTAAGGACATGCTTTCTCATCCCCTATTCTTTCAAGTAAATCATCGGTGACAATGATGGTTTGAAACTTGATTTCTAAAGGGCCTAATAATATGTCATCCAGATATATTTCAATCACAGAGCTGGAGAGAGAGAGAACGAGAGAGAGATAGACAATGTGACAGTACTTTTCTTTTTTTTTTTAAGATTTCATTTATTTATTTGAGAGAGAGAGAGAGAGAGAGGGAGATCATGAGAAGGGAGAAGGTCAGAGGGAGAAGCAGATGCTCCATGGAGCTGGAAGTCCAATGCGGGACTCGATCCAAGGACTCCGGGATTAAGACCTGCGCTGAAGGCAGTTGTTAAACCAACTGAGCCACCCAGGCATCCAAGACCGTGAGACAGTACTTTTGCCAGAATCAGCTCAGACAGGTTGACCAGCACTCCAGCAATTTCCAGTAGTGCCACTGCTATGGTTCTACTCCTGTGTGCTCATTAGAATCTTTTGGGGGCACTTTCTAAAACGGAAGATAAAAAGGAAGAGTAAATCAAACTCTTAAAAAGACTGGTTGACCAGAAACATATAGGAGAGCAAAGAATAAAATAGTAGAGCAGAAAATCAAGAATGTATATCTAAAACTGTATTCTAAGGTACAGTAGGCACAGTTGTGTGGGAAAAATAGTCATTAATGTAAGGCATACTTGAGGATATACCCATTAAAGTAGTTTAAAATTAAAATGCTGACTCTTCAATTTGAAAACAAGACACACACATACACACCATTAACCAGAATCCCTATTCTCACGACAGGTGCACACATCTGCCTCCTGGAGGGTTATGGCACACGTGTACGAGCACATTAACAGACATTTAAATGCTGATGTCATGAGCCCCATGGCATTATGACAAAATGCTGTTCCCCAAATCACCTAAGTCCCCATTCCCTTAAGTAGTATCAGTATAAGTAGTATCAGGAGTTATTTTGGCATGCTAGGTATGTGCCTGCTACCTGCATGGTTCCAGCTGGGAGGCAAAATCCCAGAGGAGCTAAGACAGTCGTCAAATAATAACGGTTTTCCAAGTTTTCTATGAAGATGGCACTGGTGGCTCATAGTCATCAGGTTTTAAGCTTGGTGAGAAACATAACTGCCAGATGCTGCTTGTTGTTTACAAGATGGCTGGCAAGCAGGAAACATGAAGCTGGAGGTCAGAAACCAGAGCCCACCTGAACTGGTCCATTCCAGAGGCATGCCAAGAACCCTCATTTGGTTGTTGCTCTGATACACTTCCCGGGTAGGGTTGCCAGGTAAAACACAGGACACTAGTTAAATGTGCACTTTGATAAATAACAATCTCCCAGATACTGCTTCACCTTTATCTGAAGTCTGAGTTTCAAGGGAAACATGCTGTACTTTCATTTACTAAATTTGTCAACCCTCCTATCAGGGAAAGCTCCCATAACAGTTTCTACTACCCAAGAAACTTCAGATTTTTCCATATTTTTGTTTCATTGATTAGCATCTATAAATATAGATGGAAGATATACTTGCTGAAATAGGATTCTTCTCTTTTTTGCATCTATCATATCATTTCTATGGACATGATGGACTATCCTTTAAGGTCTTAAGTCTTTCTTCCAGGTACCACCACCAGTACCACCATGAGTGACTTATACTTTGTATACTAAATTTGCAACAGTCTCCATGAAACATAAATATTCAAAAAGTGCAGATTTAGCATTTGGATCCTTTCCCCAAACCTCCAACCTTTCTGAATGCTCACTTTCAACTGAAAGTGTCTCTAGAAAATCATGATGTAAATCATATTATCGTTACTCACATAAAGGTGGCCCATTGCCGCCCTTCCAGAAAGCTACAGAGAATTTTTGCAATCTCAACTGCTCTTTAAAAAAAAATCTGTTTTCTATTATGAAAAATAATCTAAAAATAGTTCCACATAACACAAGGATAAAACCATCTGTATGATCTCTCCAAAGAGCTCATATTTCTATAGATTTTTATCACTTTCCAACTGTTCCAACAAGTTCTGAAATTTAAGAAAGTCATGTAGATTTGGCAGCTAAAACTCATTAAAGTATTAAATTTAATCACTAATATTGCAATTATTTTATGTTATTCTTTTACATCATAGAAGGTTCAAATCAAATATGTATCAAAGTAAACAAAGCACAAAACTGCATTAAAACTCATGGCAGAATTTCTTAAATGTCACATTAATGTTTCCACCAATTATCAATCAATAAAACCAAAATATTGATGCAACAGAAAAATACCCAGCACTCCAGTACAACACACAGAGAAAATGTGTATCTGGAAATGTTAGCCCCAGTGTGTGTTTCACGAATAACTTCCAACAGGTGTAAATAATGCCAGGCCCCTCATTAGGACTGTCACATCAAAACTGGTGTGTATTTTCTTAAGAATCAAGATTTCACTTTCAAAGAATAAAGTCAGCATTAAAATAAAAACAAAACTTGTACAGAAAATCATGAATGCAGTTAATGTGATTTTTTAAACTTGAGCCACCGAGAAGTCCAGAAAACGAAACAACTGACCTTTGCGTGGACGCTCTCCATCGGGTCCCAGAGATCTCCATTCAAGAGAGAAACACGGACAACTTCATAAGCTCCCCCCCGGCCCCTTCTTCCAGCCGGCTGCATGGTGGGGGCTAACTTGCTTCCCGGGTTCACCGCTGCATCGAAAAGAAAACAACCCAGTTCTTCATTCTTGTCAGGAAGACTCTGGCATCAGACACTTATGACATAAATGACTCAGTGAAAATATCTGGAAGCCCAAGGAAGCCAGGGAAACAGCATTATCTATTAAGCCACGGTCAAGGTTAGAAGTGATGAATACTCTTGTCAATCCAACCAAACAATTCTGTGACTTAATCAAAAGCTAACTTTTCCCTTCAAGTCCTATGGCATGTCCTGGGTGATGATCGAAGTATATAATTCTGTCCTCAACGAGCAACAAAGATCACACAAGTGGTGACTTTTTAAATGATGAATTAATGCTTTGCTTCAAATCAGCTCTCTCTTAAACATCTGAAGGCTTTAGCTGTATTAAGACTAAATCCATTTACTTAAGTCCCAAGGAATCAGCTCAACACAACGCCAATTCTCCTCTCTGTACTTACAGAGGCTAATTTTATATGCCTCACTGAGTGATTCTATAGACAAAATTAATTGGCCAGTTCAGACCGACTAGACTGGTTTATGTAAAAAAATTAAGTCACTCAATAAACTATTATATGATCTTGTTTCTTGGGGTCTTGTCGAACCAGTTAATGTCCCGACACAGGTTCAACTTAGCCCCATTTCCATAAACAGTCCTAATGGAAAGTATAACTTTTTTCTCTTCTGGACAGTATATCGCTTTCCTAACAAGTCGGGTAATTTCTCTGGGATTGCTCTCCTATGAGGTCACATTCCTGCTGTTTGGTGCGACCACAGCCTGTCCCTCAAGGTAAAGGATGGAGCAGAGTCCCTCACATGTTATTCCCATTTCTTCAACCAGGACTCATAATTTTCAGACCTGAGTCATAATAGCACAGTTTTAAGTTACTAAGGAGTTTACATTTATTGGGCACAAATGGTACTGAAATTTTAATCCTAGACATTTTACAGTTCCCCCAATACTTTTAAATCCATACCATTTTATCATTCTTGATGTGGAAGTCTGCAGTTATGTTCAGGTTACAAAAGGATTACTCCTTGAGTATTAACTGTCTGACATAGCTGCTCCAGAAAATTCTCAAGCTGGTCACAAAGCATTTAAAACTCCCAGTTGTTGAGGGACCACGGGAACAGGGATGAGCAGAGAGTTAGGGATATGGCCAATGGCAGAGGAGGTGAGTGGGTCCACTGGCCACGAGGGGCCGGGGCAAAGCGTTGTGGGGGAGAGGACCATGAGCCACGTGAACAAGCAGAGGAGAGTGTGGGGGGCTCAGGCCTGGGACGAGCTGAGTGTTTGGGGATGAACCCGCATTCGAGTGATGAGGGTTCTAGCCATGTCACCAGAGGGATGGGTGTGGGTCGTGACATCTGCAGACACTGGTGGAGGGCCTGATAGAAGTGGAAAGAATAGGTATCTGAATGGAAGATGCCAAAGCCCTTCTCCCGGCTGCAGAGGGGGCAGCCACTGGCACAGGGAGATCATGGTTAGAGGAGCCCTGACCACCGGCTTGATTTCATAGCCTTCATTGCACTCCCCAGTAGTGTGACATCACTACAGTGGGGGCTTCAGGGGAAGACATAGGCCAGCACCTGTACCCGCTCTTCCACGGGTCAGCTGCGGGTCTCTCGTCCAGTTGTTCTCCCCCCTGCTTGTTCGTTCACTCATTCACTTACTCATTCAACAACTATGTATTCCCTGTCTACCTTCTGATGGACACTCTGATGTCTTCCATTCAAAAAGCCCATCCTTTCTGCTTAGGGTCAGTGTGCGCTAATGTCACCTGGGTGGAGACAGCCCCTCTGCCTCCACAGCCAGGACCCTCATCTTGGAAATGCAGCTTAACCCCAGAAGACTCCGTTCTCTCCATCCTGTGTATCTGAGGGAGGGTCCCAGGTAAAGCTGCCCTCACGTCTTGCGTTCTTGAATTGGCAGAAAGAGGAATAGCACGACCATTTCAGAGGGCGGTCAGGACTATGAAAGAACAGGGCTATGGGGGCTCAGTGTTAGCCTTGCTCTGCTTCTGTCAATCTGCAGTATCTTCCAAATACAAGATAATAAGAAAAATGAGGTAACAGTAGAGTCATGGGGAGGGCTACTCTTGATGGAAAGGCCAGGAAAGACCATTACTTGTTGGGGGAGGGGGTGCACATTAGCCCAGATGTGAAGATGAGAACCTTCCAGCCCCACACAGAACCACAGGAAGAATGAGCCAGCAGAGGGACAGCAAGTGCTTTCCTTTTCCATAAAATGAGGCAGAGCGTGGGGATGCCAAGAGAAAATAGGTGTGAAGCACAGAGAGCAACGTCCACTGGTTTACCAGCATCATTCTTACCAAGACCCAAGTCTCTTGCTCAGGACTCTCAGTGGGATTCCTATGGTGGAATTTACCAGAAGTTCATGCTGAGCCAGCCATACAGCTCGTGCAGAGCCAGACTACGGAAAGCAATCAGCTGAGTGTATCTTAACAGAGAGCAGGTGTGTTCTTTGAATTGGACCAAGAAGGCTTTGAAATACCAGTAATTATGGAATAAGAATTAGAGATCTTCTGAACATTCCCCCAAACCAGTGAAAACCACGCCACAGGCCAAGAGTCACCCTGGCCAGTATTTCACTTTTCAAAAGTTGGGTGAAACTGTTAAGAAAGTGATTGCAAACATTTAAAAATGTTCTGTACAAAAACCAATTTGATTCTAAGCTGTTCCTGGCAGTTCTGGAAGTTAAATTTCCAACACAAGTGGATCATTCACTTGAGCAGTTAGCCACAAATCCAGTTGTCCAAGGGCTTATTAAATCCAAAACAGGAGCTCCGCCTCACCCACCACTCAGCTGCCACGGGGAAGACAGGATGCTTTCCAGGGGCACTGCAGCCATGCTTCTCAAAGACCTCGGAGATCTTCACCAGCCTCAGACATTGGAAAACAACCTTCACATGCATCTAAACTCGCTTGAGAAGCCACATGTCTTAGAAGGAAGCAGATGGCACTAAGAGGTCCAGGTCTCCTGGGTGAATCCCTAGCAGGACTCTGCCATCAGGGGAGAGGGGTAGCAAGTCCACATCCTTGATTTGGGGGAAGCTGGAGAACCTTTGTGGGGCCTCCTAGATGACAATCAGGCTGCAGCTCCACAAGCCAAAGACAAGGAACGTTCTTAGTCCTCTGAACCTTTTTCCTCCAAGACTCTTGGTAATAGAAAATGAGAGTTATTTATTCTCCTGAAGGCAAAATGTTCCAAGAACTGAACACTTCCCTTTTCACCTACATATTACATTGTCTTAATCCAAAAGAAGTCCTTTTTGGCTGAATTCTTTTTTTTTAAACATTTTTTTAAATTTATTTTCAGCATAACAGTATTCATTGTTTTTGTACCACACCCAGTGCTCCATGTAATCCGTGCCCTCTCTAATACCCACCACCTGGTTCCTCCAGCTTCCCACCCCCAACCTCTTCAAACCCTTCAGATTATTTTTCAGAGTCCATAGTCTCTCATTGTTCACCTCCCCTTCCAATTGTCTAAGAGGCTTTATTTCTGAATATTCCAAAGAGAATTCCAAGGCAGACTGTGCCAGCACTTGGAGAATGTTGTGCAACCTTTTTAAGAAACTGAGTAACTGCCCTGTTTGCCGAGTACAGTATTTATTATCTACGTACATGGATAATGAAGCTGTCCCTCAGCTTTTTAACTGGTTGCACAATATCCCCCCAGCAGTATCTGTAGTCAGAAGACCGTTTCTTATGAGCTCTGCTTATGTATTTATACACTGGTATTTCTTTTAGATGATGTAAATAAAAATTTCATTTGTGCTGCACGGATAGACAGAATAAATTATACACAGCTGTGAGATATCAGAATGTATTTTACGGAGTGATCTTGTTGACAATCCATAAAAGCAGGTCCTGAATGATGTGTACATCTAAGTCCTTAGAAGCCCAGGGGGAAAAATATGACCTTATAAAATATACAGTGTGCATACATTTTGTTTTTCCTAGTATTCGGGAATCAACAAAACTCAGTTGCCTAAATAAAAAATGTGAATAACTTATATTAGGAAGGAGCTTCTGGCTTTTTTTTTTTTTTTCCTGCTGGGTAACCAGATACATTGCTTGCCATTTTGATAAAATGGTCAGTTTGCTTCAGTCTCATAGTGGGGAAAAAACCATATTAGATAGTTTGCTTTCTAACAAGATTTGCATCTATAATAATGAGCTTTACTTTCCCATGGGAAATGTGTATGTCTATTTTGCTTTTGTCTTTGCTGGAGCTTTTTACCTTTGGACTTGTGACCAGCCAACAGGGAAGGTATGAAACCCAATTCCGCAAGCAAGCAAGAATCTTTGCAGCAATGGCTTTACAGTCTTGGAAAAGCCACTAATGAAGACACCTGCCCTGAAGAGATGTAGGATCCCCCCATTAGAGCCCCCCAGAGCCTGGCTGCTCATGGAAGTCCTGCCTATCCCTGCTCTGGCCAACCCTCCTTTGCCTGTCTTACTAAGAACAACAACATGATGTCCATTGATGGGCATCAGTTATGCACAGGGAGAGACCGACGTGGAGTTCTGGGACAGTGAACAACGGACATCTTGGAGCCACAAGGCCCAGCCCTGGCCTTGAGTCCCCTGGTCTACTTGCTCCAAGCCTACCTCTGGGGTTCTGCCTTCTGCAGAACAGGAAGCACATTCCCTCCCTTCCTAATTCTTACAGGGTAGAGGAAGCTCAGTGCATTCAAAGAGCTTTCAAAAAGCTTTAATGCATGAAACTAGTTTAGGATATTCGAATCCACTTTCCCAAACTTCTATACAGGGTTCATCTGACCAAACCACACTAACGGTGTGAACGTGGCCACGGTCCATCCAGCAGTAGAAAATGCCAGGCTTAGGTACTGGTGTGTATCCACTCAGGCCACCCAGTGGGCCACTGTGGAAGCAAACTCTGATGAGATTACTACTCAAGATAAAACTTACACATCACATCTGGAATTCTGGCTTTAAAGGGAAACCAGTATGAACACCTGTGCAG